CACACAGGGTCGCATACAGAATGCATTGAACCTGGACGACGACGGGATCGGGGCCGTTCCATCGAGGTATGGACGCCGCAGAATTTGGGGGTAGGGTGCCAGTGGTGGCGTTGAGGAGCATCTCAAGCAACACATTGTTCGCCTGTTCATAATCTGGGCTGAGCTCGGATTGGATGTCGATGATGAATGCCGATGCCACGGCGGAGAATAAACCAGACTGCGTGAAACACCGTGGTGATCGTGAGGCCCAATCTTGCCTCAACAGTGCGATACTCACGAAGATAAGGGTCGTGTTCAAGTCCTCATCATATTTCTTCTCAAGGTCCTGATCGTGTTCCTCTACTTCCCGTTGGAACATGTAGTGAAATCTCGCTTTCGGGTTGGCCCCAGCTTCCCCCAAAATTTCGGGGTTTGCTAGAAAAATGTGTAGTTTCATATAAACCGTCTGATTATATCTTTTCACCAGACTCACTCGTTTGCATCCTGGGATCGAAATCAAGTTCAATAGGGACGGAAGTGGGGATGAGAGAAAGTGGGAACACCTTGAGGCTTGGGTGAGCCACTTGATGTTGGTCGTGCACAGCCAATCAGGCTATGCAGATCGTGTCTTGGTAGCTATGTTTATATCGGAAAGATTCGGTTTCAACAGCACAGCTGTGACGTAGCTCAGATACCTCAAAGTCGTGTCAAATGGCATGGCCCGGTTACATATATACAGAGAATGGATAGATGGCAATAGGCGGCGGACGGTGACTCTACAGTACTAAGCACAAGCAACCAACTCAAATGTGTGAACAGACGCTCGGCAAAGATGCGTAGCCGTACATGCATCTCTACCGGCGTTGGCAGTATGCTCGGAGGCCGGGTCGCCTCCCCAGTATTACCGAGGGAAAAACCAGAACCTGTGCCATCAGGAAAAACCTCTTCAGCTAGCCGACGCTATGCGAAGCTATGACAGGCTAACCGCACTAGCCATCAACTAGCCATCACCACGCAAAGTTAATCAAGGCTATCCGAGAGTATCCGAGCTTATCCGAAGTTATCCGAGGGACGTTAAAGTGTTGCACGAGAAACCACGTGGTTCACTTCCTTTGACTGAAGCTCCCATGTACGCGGCTTCGACCATTCCTCCCTCTGCCGGGACCATCAAGTGAAACGGTAAGTCCGTTACCTCATGCCCCTCACCACCTTCCGTGCCACCCTGCTTGGGGTTCTATTTGGTGAGCATTTTACCCCTCGAATCCCAGCGGTGACTCGGCTCGATACGACGTACTTACCAGAGCTACGACAGGGCCCGTGCCGTTTGTATTGTCAACGTTCAACCCTTGCATTGGCTCTCACCCCAATCTTGTTCCCGACTCCCGCGTGTGGTCGGTGGGAAATTGCCAATGCGTTGACTGAGGGAGGCGCCGCTGGATCAACTGCCGAGTTCTTCCCATCACTGGCCCCGCCAGGCGGTCTATAGTTGAGACTGCTGGTCTCAATTCCGACGCTCACGTATTTATGGTGTCCATCCAGGCCAATGTTTCTGCCACGCTATGGGATCCTTCCACCTTACGTGATACCTGCTCCCCCAGTGGCAGTATTTGAGTCCACCCTGCCTCTGGAGATGCCGCCATGCTCCCGTTGACCCTGGCGAATAACAACGACCTTGAAATGCTCTTCTGCAGTGGCAGGGGCATGCCAGATTATGGCTGAGGTAACTGTTCCGGCCTTTTGTCGATAACTAGCTCATTCCCACTTTCAGCAACTGCCGACACATCACCCCTGAGCCACTCGATCAGCCGCCCAATCCCACTTTGCAGCAGGATGATGACCCGTTTGAGTCCAACATGTATGTTGGGCTCTATCGGCGTGCCACATCTAATAGTTGGATTGCGACCATACGTCTGGCCATGTATATGGTGGAGCGTATCACCTTTTTATGCGGGGGTTACACCCACCCTATATTATTATCTTTTATATACGTATATACGTATATTTCCTTTGTACATTACATGAGTTCCCCCGGCTTTCAAATATACTGGTTTTAAAACTCATCTGGATGGCAATTACGAGAGCAAGTTTACCTACGACCATGCTAGTGGGGTCTAAGAGACGCTACCAGTGCTCTATGGGATAGCTATCGGCTCGCTATCGAATAATGATGGGCTAGGAGGACCGCTATGCTATAACTATGGACCCGGGATCACATAGTTTCGCCTAGTGTCGCGTAGCCTCAGAGGTTTTTCCTGATGCGCCCCCGCCCGCGGCACCTACTAGATCTGAAATCGGGAAAGATACGTCGATGAGGAAGCAGTGCGCTTTGACCATCTACCTTCCGACATTCCTTCCCCAGGCCCGAACTACGCGAATCTATGACTGCGGACCCTCATAAGGCTCAGGTTCTGCCGATTTTGGGGGCAGCGCGATCTAGGATGATCGATGATCGGTCGAAGGATGGAGGGAAGGTATAGTGGCACCAAGCTATAAGGCAAACCCTGGTGAGGTTACATAACCTCTCGAGATAACGCTTGCTTAGGACGTATCTCGGTAGCTCCCCGGTTGGGTATCTCGCTGGAGCCTTCGTCAGATTTTGACCCGAGCGAAACGCTAGGAACTAGTATCGAAGGCGCAAAAATACCCCCCAAATGTTGTGGGGGGCGAGTGTGAACGGAGGGGAGGGTGTGGGACGAGCTTGGGAGGGTCTGTCTGCTGCGAGAGGTCAGGCACGCTCTTATCGAGATAGGCGCTGCCAGGACGGGGATTGCGAAGCATCAGTAAGCCATTGATATAGTGCGTACGATCGACGAGGGGGTACTATGTGGAATATCCTGAGACCGCGCCTGACATGCCGAGCACTCAAACACAGTGACCACCTACTCGTACCCATATGATACCACGACCGTGCACTTTCACTTCTGAGCTACACCCAACACCTCCAGTTGGAGGACTGCGAGTTCGTGGTCAGTACCCGTGAGCTTAACGGAATCCCAACACATACCAAATGCTCCAGAGCTCGGCTTTGTGGCGAACACGACCTCGTTTAATTTTTCTCCAGTCAGGTCCCGGTATCTGGAGTATCCCGCCCTCAACTTGTTCTTGAAATCCTCTACTTTGCTTTCGGAAACCAGACTGACGGTGCATCCTCCCCATCCTGCCCCTGTCAAACGGGACCCATACGCTCCAGACGCGCGGGCTAGCGCCGTTAGTTCGTCGAGTTCGGGACATGAACAATCGAACAAATCCGAACAGGACCGATGAGACTCGTTCATGAGATTTCCGAGTGCTTGGAGGGTTTCTTCAGCAGATGACGGCTGAGAGCAAGGTTGAGACTTTAGGCACAAGTTGCGAAATTGGAGGACCCGGAGAGCTTCTGAGAAGACGTGTCTCGCTCGATTGTAGAGGTGGAAGTGGGTTGCTTCGACTATTGATTCGGTAAGTAAGGCTACAGATCAGTGAACGATGAAGCACCTGCCTTCCACCCACGATAGGTAGAGTTGATGGAATTCGGACTGAGGTAGCCCACTGAGGTTGATCATCTCTTCCATGGTCACGCCTAGCTGACCACTCGCAACCGTCTCTGGGGGAGGCTTGAGGCTTTCTACCTCCTCTAAAATACTCTCCAACCCCTTCTCCATCTCGATTTCCTTTCCAGACTCTCTCTCATCCCCGGAAATCCACCTCCCGAGAACTTCTCTGAACGTCACCTTCTCTTGACGTCCGATCTTCACCCCAAGACGATTTGCGAGGATCCGTGCGCCTACCAGGGTCTCGACGACGCGGAGGTTGTATTGCGTCTTGGCGGAGACCGCTTTATCGGATACCACGAGTGAGTTCGCGATGACGAACACAGCCGGAGGGTCGGTTCGCTCCGTCGGTAACTCGATCAGTTGAGCAGAGAGCGTGGGGTAGAAGGAAATGTACAACGCAGAATTGGGAGTGGAAATCACGGAAGCGGCTTGGTCCATTCTAGAAAGGAGCTGCCTGAGTATGATACGAATACACACGCGTGAACTCCTCACCCGCCGCTGTTGACTCCAACCCGTTTTTCATTTGCGACCGCGATCTCTACGAGTCTTCCTTTGGTCATGCCGTTCAGTTTGTCGTTTACGGCGAGGAAGCCGAGTGTTGAGGCTACCACAATTGCAGCACTTGAGGATAGCCCTGAGCCAGCTGGGATAGTGCCTGATATGAGCATGTCAACTGGGGTGGGATCGCTCTCTCCTTCTCTGAAGAAATTGTTCAGGACGCCCTGAAAGAGACCGAGATAAGCGCACAAGCCCTGCCAAGCGGAAGAGTGTGTGCAGAAAACTCACATAGTACCCTGCTTTCACGTAGCTATCCCATCGGAGCTCATTCGTATTGATATCTATCAGCCAAGCGTCTTGATCTCGAGCGCCGGCTGTGGCGATGGCGCGGGAGGGTGAGAACCTCTGCTCGGCATATTTTGGATCTGCATTCGCCACGATGACGCCTGGTTGGTCGTTTAGCGGACGAGGTGCGAGGGCGATGAGTATGTCACGTTCGATGGCAGCTGGGAAGACACCGAACAAGGCGTAGTCGATGTGTTCACCGATCAAGCTGTATTCGAGTCGTGGGTCTCAGAGGCGATGCTTTTAATCGGTCCGGAGGATGAAAGGCTCACTTGACTCTTCCTGGAGCTCTTGCTATGTAGGTAGGATTTCGGCCGTAACGAGCCCTAAACTCCTCTGCGACTTTGATCCGTTTCTGTCTATGGGTGGGGTGGGGGATTAGAATCATCGGTCCACGATGAATAAGGGATCACCCACGTTTGCTCGTTCCTCTCGTTCACCTGATCAATGCTTGTGTACACCGGGACTAAGAGTTCGGCCATATGAGTAGAAGGAATGAGAGAGATCGTTCATCATGATGTGGGGGTGGGATGAAGTGTCTGCGCCGGCTTTCATCAGGATCTCGATCGCCTCTAAACTGCTTTCTGTTCCCCCAATCAGAGGGACAGTATACTAGAGGGATGATGAGGGGGTCAGTAAAAAGGATGGACACGTCCGGGATTGAACCGGACCCCTCTCGCAAGCTTCTCATGGATGTGCTAAGCGAGCGTGATAACCAACTACACCACGTGCCCTCCAGCAAACCTCAGAAAGACACGGTATCAATCTCCGAGGAGACGAAGGATGTCAATTTCATGGCACTGGCAGCTTCCAAGTTCGCTGGACACGTGTATGCATGCCGCTTGAGAGCGAAGATGCATGTTGAACAGCCCTGGTCATCTTCTCGTCCTTCGCTCCTCGCAGGTTTGTCAACCGCCTAATTATATGTAGCACTGTTTGAGACAAGATCCGACTCCCACCTTGCGGACGCGCGTTTGAGCGGTCCACAGCCAGAGTGGCAAAGTGCGGAGTTGGGGAGGTCGTTTATTTCGAGAGTAACGTCCTGTGTGATGACGAAAGTATCTTTATCCACGTCAGGTCATAAATACCTCTGCGAGCCAAACGTGTAGCGAGAATTTATTTAAAGAGGCCAGGAACCAGGGTCGCCCTCGGCTGTGTGTCCCCTTGGAGTTTGAATGACAGCCCGACAACGGATGCTCAAGTAAGCAGAGACAAGGGAAGAGTTGGCCAATTTCACTCGTCGCTCGCTAACAAAGGCTGGTTGAAAGAAATTAGATTCCCTGGTGGTGGCGAGTGTTCTATTCTGGGTATATTTCCGGTAGAAGTAGAATCAGCTTCATGACCAGAAGCAAACCAGGCCTCAGTCAGCCGTAGGAAGCAGCATGTTCTCGCTTCGCAAAAACGTAGATCAAGCCAAAGTGAGTATATAGAAGATGGTCCGAGGCCCGTCAATAAACTGAACGTAAAAGTAAAAGATAGAAAAATGCAAGTTCGAAAGTGTCTTCGTGAAAGCGTAAACGGAATGGCTGGATGACGTTGAGGGATAAAGATCGTCACAACAGTCCTAAATTTTACCGCAACACACCTCACGAGAGGATGAAAACAGCCAAAGCAACGCCAACCAGAGAAGTAAGCGAAGAGAGGGCAATGGTAGTGGGGCTACCACTGCTACCGTTGGCGTTGGAGCTGGTGCCAGTGTTCGAAGGTCCAGTGGAGCCAGTCTTGGTGCTGCTGGTGTGGATGCTACTGGAGATCTTGCCGGTGGAAGAAGGTACGACGCTGCTGGTGGGGAGAGAGGCGTACAGGAGGGATGAGGTGTAAGTGACGCAGTTGGAAGAAGCAGGGACCTTGGGCGTGTAGGGAATGGAGCTGATAGCGCCCAAAGACTCAGGGGGCTGAGTGTAAGTCTGGATGTTACCAGCTGAATCGGTGTAGATGCCTGGGAAGTCCTGGTTTGCACCTTGGCAAGTCTCGAAGGTTCCGTTTTGGGCGTTGTTGGGAGCATTGTAAGCGCATCCGATACGGTCGTAAATGTGTTGGCAGTAGTTGGCAGCGTTGGGACCAGCAGGGTCGCAAATCTTGAAGCAGAACACGCTACCGCCCATGAAGTTGTGCCACTCGATAACCTGCTCGTAGTTGCCGCTGCCGTTCGACCAAGCGGTGGAGTAGACGAGACCGCCGAGGGGGTTACCGCGGAAATCGGCACCATGGGGGTCAAGTTCTCCTCCGTAGTCGGAGGCTTCGAGGTCGATGAATGTCTGGTCGATGAATCCAACGACTTGGACGTAGTCTGGGGTGGTCATGAACTGAACACCCTTGAGAGCACCAGCCGGGATGAGACGGGTGCCGTGACCGGGCTTCGTACACCAGGCGACTTCCTCTTGTTCCGTGTCAGCAATGGTCGTGGGACCGGTCGGAGGTCCCCAGAGGCAGAAATCTAAAAATAGTTTGATGTGAGCGACTAAACATAGAAAGTAGTTAAGGAAACCGAAATCACCGTCAATCGAGTTGATGATGGCAGTCTGGCAGAGCGAGGATTGGTTTTCCGTGGTGGAATTGCACCTGTTGTAACCGAATTGGGTGCCACGAACACCATTGTCTGGGTCAGCTTGGTAAGGCTGTGGAATTAAGAGGTTAGAGGATACGCAGATTGAAAACGGAGAAAGCGCGTACAAGGTTATTGTAGTCGAAGTGCTTGGAAGCCAAAGGAATAAGAGAAGAGGAGGTCGAGGAACTGTCCTGAGCGTACACCTTGGACGAGGCGATGGCGAGAGCCACAAAGGTTGAAAGAGTGAAACGAGGCATGGTCCTCAAGAGTGGAGTGGATGGGAGGTGGAAAGAGTCGAGCGAGAAGAAGAGGGAAGAGAGAGCGTTGGGAAGCGAGGTTGCAAGCCTCCTCCGTTTTATTTACAGGAGAAGTATTAGGTAAGCAAACATCTTCCCACGCTCTTGTCCGCAGAATATTCCGTGAAAGTGTGATTGGAAAAGGGGTTGGTACACTTTTGTTATCACACATATAAAACCCTCTTACACTATTCTTATCTCTTTTCTAATAACACTACAACCATGGTCCCCGCACCCACCAAGGCGTTGAAGGCCCTCAAGACCAAACTCCCCCTCAAAGTTTCCTCGCCGTCTTTCAAGCAATCCAACGCATTCGCACCTAATCCCGGTGAACTTCCCCTCGTCACCCTCCGCATACAGGTTCTCGGAGCCAGCAATCTTCTAGCGAAAGATAGGAACGGCTTTAGCGATCCGTACGTCTTCAGCCTCGCTTGCTTGCCCTTCACATCTTCTAAGAATTCAATCCAGCTTCTTCGTCGTCTCGTGTCTCAATGTTCGACACCAGACATGCGTGATCAAAAAGACTTTGAATCCATCCTTTCCAGAGAAGGATGCTACTTTTGATTTCAACATTTATCTCTCGTTGGCAGATAAACTTTCCGCCATCGAACTCATCGCCTGGGACAAAGACACTTTCAGCAAAGATTATCTTGGAGAAGCAGCCCTCCCTCTCGAGGAGTGGTTCTTGGATGCGCCCGGGGGGCGTGAATATGCCTGGGAGGCTACTCAAGTCAGTCAACCGATTATGTCGCATCCCGCGTGCGGCCACTGACGTGGTAGTCTCGCTGATCCGCAGCCGTTCGACGTCCCCCTTGCGTCTACGCGAGGGAGCATCGGGTCACAAGGTTCTGTCAGGATTAAGCTTGGTTTCGTCAGACCTCATCACTCTCAAATCTCCATGGAGTTTTCTGACATTTACTCCGAAATCGTAACTCGATCGAGACCATCCATAGTTTCCGCTCCTCCCGTGAGTCCCTGATCCAGATCCTCTCTCTTTCGTTACTCTCTCATGACCTCTCACATTTGCGTCCTAGACTGAGGGTATTGGTACGATCCGCTCTAGCGCGGGTGCCCCAGTCATCCAGGATGCTCTTTCTTCAGATGAAGAGGACGACGAGGATGAGGATCTCCTGGCACCTGTCGAAAGCCATACGCCCACCACCCCCACAGCCGGGGGAGATAAAACTCCAATTGCTCCCAAGCCAGTCGGTGGGCTTGCAAAGTTCTTTCCTGGGAAACGTGCCCAGTCGCAACGCATGGATTCATCTGATTCCACGCTCGCCGATTCCTCCGCATCCACCCCAAGCCCGCAAAGGCCCATCAGCGCTCAAGATTCAAAGGAGAAGAAACGCAAATTCAGAAGGTCCAGGAAGGCTGGTGGTGGTGAATACCATTTAAATCCAGAGAATGACGTTTTGGGTATCGTCATGCTGGAAATTAAGGGAGCTAAAGATCTTCCTAAACTTAGCAACAGTGCGTGTGTTTGCGGCTACCGTTTTCCTCATTTATTTATAGTGCCGCACAGTGACTAGAACCGGTTGGGACATGGACCCCTTCGTCGTCATCTCATTCGGCAAGAAAGTCTTCCGCACGCGCGTCATCCGACATTCCCTCAACCCGACCTGGGACGAAAAGCTCATTTTCCACGTGCGTAGATATGAATCGAAGTTCGAGATTCAGTTTTCCGTTCTCGACTGGGATAAGCTTTCAGCGAACGATCACATTGGCGACGCAAGCTTGGAGTTGTCCGAGTTGATTAGCAAGGCGCCGCAGAAAGATCCAAGCACTGATTTATACGCTGCCAGCGAGGAAGGTCATGATTTGGATCCTTTCACAGTCCAACTCGTCATGCCGAAAGACCTTCCCAAGTACAAACCCGAGTTGACGTTTAGGTTTGGACTGTTTGTGTGCTCGTTTCTCATCCGCTGACGGATAGCGACCAAACAGGGCTAAGTACCAACCATACGATGCACTTCGTCAGATGTTCTGGCGTCAGTTCCTCAAACAATACGACATCGATGAATCAGGCGACATGAGCAGGCTCGAGATTAGCTCTATGCTTGATTCACTGGGCTCTACCCTCTCTTCCCAAACAATTAACTCATTCTTTACACGCTTCGGGAAAGATCCGTTCGAAGGATCCATCACAATTCCCCAAGCGGTGCAATGCTTGGAAACTGAGATCTGTAAACCTCAGAGCGAGAGGAAACGTTTGACGTCTTCTCCGAACGAGGCAGATACGGCCCCCAGCACCCCAACTGGTCTAAAGATGGACGGCCCTCTACCGCTGGACAGAATCGACTTCTCTGGTCCATCTCACTTACGGCCTAATGAGGATAATGGTGGGCTAAGGCCCGGACCGTTTGACTCGCACCAAACTGAAGGGACCAACCTTCCTTTACACCATGTGGCGGGTTGGAGCGACCGGCCTCAATCGTCTCGACACCCTTCTAATTCGAGCGAAGATGGCGGGGAAGACAGTAGTTCTGGAGGATCTGAGGAAGCTCGCGAGAGGGTCATTAATATCAGGAACTGTCCTCTGTGCCACCGGCCGAGGCTCAGCTCCAAAGCCGAAGTGGATATCGTTACCCATATTGCGCTTTGCGCCAGCCAGGACTGGGGCAGGATGGACAAGATCGTCGTTGGAAATTTTGTCACAGCCAGCCAGGCTCAGAGAAAATGGTACACGAAGATCCTCGGGAAGCTGTCCTCTGGAGATTACAAGCTTGGAGCCGTGAGCATCTCTCTCCTTGTTCAGTTTGGACGTCTGATGCTTACGAACTATAACTATTCGCGTAGAACTCCGCAAACATTATCGTGCAGAACCGTATGACTGGTCAGCTGGAAGAAGAGAAAATGCAGGTTTACGTTCGGTTGGGAATCAGGCTCC